ATTTTTTAAAAGAAGTATTTTCTTAATATGTAGACTGATAAATCAAAGCATGTTTTACCGAGTAATTAATCCTTCAATAATTCACGCAACAGGTCATTTTGGGGTTTAACCCCTGCTTCCATTATTTCTGACAAGGTCCACCGACAGATGTCTCACTTTGGATGTACACAACAGAAGACTGGGATCTGTTTCACATACATCTGTTCCCAAACAGCTTAGGCAGATTAATACTTAGAATACACCCAGCTCTGCTAAGTCCCAAACAACCATTAACTCTTATTTTTAAATTATTTTTTCTCATTTTCACATTTTTCCACATTACCTTTCACACTGGTAAGTTTCCAGCAAATGTTTATAAATGTAAAGCTAATCATTTTAATGCTCATAAAAGAAGCACTTTCAAGACCTTATTTTGAAGCCCAGCTTTCTCACATTTTCTGGTTACTGCTCTAATTCAACTCAGCTCAGAGTTGGGATAGGAATAACCCTTTGGTAAAACAGATCATGAAACTGTGTAACCTGAAATATTAAGTCCATGAAAAATAGAGAATTTTAAACCTATATAAGATTTGAAACTCATTTTTTTCATATTTAAAACGTAGTATGTCTGATTAGCATCTGCATATTATAAAATCTTTGGCCTGAAATTTGCTTAAAAGGTATCATAAATGAAACTGAGGATAAGCTAGTCTTTTTATCCATCATAAAAAAAAAAATGTGCTGATGGGGCGCCTGGATGGCTCAGTGGGTTAAACGTCTACCTTCCACTCGGGTCATGATCCCAGGGTCCTGGGATCAAGCCTCAAATCGGGCTCCCTGCTCAGCGGGATGCCTGCTTCTCCCTCTCCCACTCCCCCTGTGTTCCCTCTCTCACTGTGTCTGTCAAATAAATAAATAAAATCTTTTAAAAAAAAATGTGCTTAGGACTAGCCTTGACCAACATTTTTCCATCAGAAAATGGTTTCTTCCTTTCCATAGACAGGCTTGGGCCTGAGATGACTGTCCACCTCTCGCCACTATGCCCTGAAGCTGGGGAAGGGCAGGATGGGGCCTGTTTTTTCCCATGTGTTTCTTCTATCTAGAAATTCATTAGGGTTGAGTGGCTCCTGCTGTAAAATACAGCTCCTTTGCAGGCACCGGATGGCTGACCCCACTGATCCTTCAAAAGTGAGACTTATTTATGATGTCCTAACCCCTGAAGTCTATGAAAATAGGTATGTTCTTTAAAAAGCAACTTCGGGGCACCTGGGTGGCTCAGTAGTTAAGCGTCTGCCTTCGGCTCAGGTCATGGTCCCAGGGTCCTGGGATCGAGCCCCGCATCGGGCTCCCTGCTCAGCGGGGAGCCTGCTTCTCCCTCTGCCCTCTGCCTGCTTGTGTTCCCTCTCTTGCTGTGTCTCTGTCAAATAAAAATAAATAAAAAATAAAAAGCAACTTCAGAGGTGATGGTTTTCGATGATTATATATACTTGAGCCTTGAATAATGCAGGGATTGGGGGTGCTGACCCATGTGCAGTCAAAAATCCACACAGAACTCTTCACTCGCCCAAAACTCAACAGCCTATTGTTGACAGCAGTCTCCCCAATAACATGAATAGTCAATTACCACACACTTTGTATGTTAAATGTATCAGGTACTGTATTCTTACAATAAAGTAAGCTAGAGGGAAAAAAGCATCTTTTAAGATTCTTAACATTTATACTACTGTACTGCATTTATCAAAATAAAAAAATAAAAACCTCATGTGTAAGTAGAGTGGTGCAGTTCCAAGTCAAGTTGTTTGAGGGTCAACTGTAATGTAAATGTCTCATTCTGCAGGTGAAGAAACTAAGTGGGGGTTAAATCACTTGCCCCAAATCAATTACAGTCCTGTTAGTCACAGAGACAAGATGGCAGGTCCTTTGGTTCCCACTCCCGAAAAGGTTCCCAACACCAGGCAGGAGATTACAGACAGCTGGAGCAGGGACCCTACAAAAGATCCCATTTTTTCATACATCAAGGTGCTATCCATGCGTAAATAGTGAGGTTTCCAGTGTGAAAAGGAAGAGAGATCTGTGGGCATTTTGGTATTCCTGTCACAGAAATTCCTGAATTGATCATTCATAACTGTATTAAAATTTGAGCTTAATACAGCCTAATCCTACCCATTCCTAACTCTCCCCACCAGTAGCTGTTCCTTTATGGTAAAACATGATCCACCCGGTCACAAAGTACAGTAAGCAGATCCAGCTCTGGAGATGCACAAAAATGCTTCTATCTCCTGCTTTAATCAAACCTTTCAAGTAGAAGCTTACTACTCGCTAAGCAAATATGCCTAGAAGTTTGTCCTTGGCTGAGATTTAGAACAATGCCAACAAGCAACTGGTGATGCTTTTGAAAACATTGAACTCTGATCCATCAACAGCACAAGTGAAGGGCTAAGTTATAAAATACACAGATTTGTCTAATACATCTGCCCTTGTCCCCTTTCCTGTGCACCCGTAATTTCTAACACCTTACCCCCTAGTTCCAGGCACTATGTTGGGGGATACCCATACTGTGGCACTACTCTTAATCTGCTTTGCCTAGACAGGGTCCCATAACCCAGACTTGTCTGGCCTCAGAGAACTCACCTGATCCCTTCTCCCCTTTCTTCAGGATTTTGTTCCTTTCTAGGTCACAGCTAACTGGGTAATTACTTTATATTCACATGAATAAACACATGTTTATTTATTATATATTTATACAAGTAAAATGGCCAGATACTAAAATTCCAATAGAAAGATCATTAGGTAACATTGCAGATAATCAACATTATCTGAACAGATGATGCCCTTTTGTGTACATACTTTACACTGTAGTGGTGGCATCCTGGTCAATGTATGCCTCCATAATCCCATAGTAGATCTCCTCTAATCTATAGCCAAAGTTCCCTTTCTCTGGAGAACCCAAAGACACACATTATAAATTTGTCAAATCCCACAGAATGTACATCAAGAGTGAACCCTAATGTACACTATGGACTCTGGGTAATGAGGGGTTCATGTAGGTTCATGAATTGTAACAAATGCCCCACTCTGGTGAGCAATGTGGATAATGGGGGAGGCTGTGCATGTGTAAGGGGCAGGAGGGCATATGGGAAATCTCTACCTTTTGCTCATTTTTCCAGTGAACCTAAAACTGCTCTAAAAAATAAGATCTACTTTTAAAAAACTACAAAGGCACTGTGAGGTTTAAAAACTGAGTGGTCTTGCAACTACTTCCTATGTATGATCTGATAACGCCCAGTCACCTCACCCTATCCCACCCTTTCCTGCAACAGCCAGTCACTGACCAAGGAGCAATGGACAGGGGCTCCCCCACTACATCCTTCCACACCACAGCCTCCCAAGTATGATAACCTTGACATTGTCCTTCCTCTATTATCTGAACCAATTTCATTGGTCTTTCAGCACTCACATCTAAACTAATTCCACATCAGAGATTATTTCACACATTTAAACTTATCTCTTAGTAAACTGAGTGGGAGAAGAAAAGGTACTAAGTAAAACATCCGTTTCTTCTACAAATAGAAGTTCTTATGAAGCTGCTAGGATTCTGAACTTCCAATTTTAAGGGCCTAAAGTGGTTTGCACACTAGGTGTTAAGGAAAAAGACACCGAGATGAAAAAAAAGGGGGTTTTAGAGCAAAAAAAAAAAACCCAAACAAAAACCAAAAACCAAAAAAACATTCAACCTTTATAGTTTTTGAATTCTACTTCCAGGAACACTAAGTAAGCATACTTTTCCTCCAACACCACTCAATTTAAAACATTTCCTTTCTTGTGTCATTATTTGCCTTTTTTGTGTATGGGCACTGCAACACCAATCTGTATGATCTCTCATTGAGCAAGGTCTCATCTTAATTCTGTAGTGTTTCACCTCCGTTGTAGGTAAAGTTGGCTCTTGTAGGCTAAATTCTATATAACTTCTATATCCTCCCAAATTCAAACAGACTTAAAAACTTAACAGAATTCTACAACCATATCCCTAGCTTTCAACTCAGAGCTTCAGTAAGATAGTCTAGCTTGGCTTTCAAAACACCTGAAAACACTTTAATTAAAGTATAAGAGAGCAAGGATGGCCTATGCAGCAGAGGCAGAATTCACACTCAACCAGGGCGGAGTCCCTGACTAGTCAGCAGCATTTTGTTAGCTTTTTGCACAAGAAACTTTAAAACAGTAACGGGTTTCTATAGTACTAGTACAGGGTGGCTGGTTTTCCAACCCAGGAAGGCAATTTTAAGTTGGTATTCGGCTAGGAGAGACAGTGTCACATCCCAAGGTTTTCGAGAAATCATCTCTAGACTAAGACTTGAAATAGTTCTATTGTAAATATGGCACTGTAACATTTCTAAATAACTCAAGTCAATAAAAGGTGAATGTAAGTAAGCAGCATGATGAGGATTTTAAAGTTAACATTAAAGATCAACAGTTTCTAGACTAAGCCTGTAGAAGCCTTGATTCTAGACAATGGCAAGGAATGTGAGGGATGGAGAAGTCCAGAGAGAGCCCAAGGGCGGGGGGGGGGGGGGTGAAATTTCAGAAGTCAGCAGAATGAGAGGTGGATTCAGAACCCACATGTTGGTGTACTCTGTAAAATGCTTATACTTTCAGCGTACCGCAGAAGTTGATGGATTGAAACTTCAACTTGGAGGGAAGGAATGGACCTTCCCGCAGTCTAGAAAACACTGCCTCTCTGGGGCTCAGTTCTTTTTTTCTCTGTCGCAAAACAGAAGCTCAGCGTGACTTCACTCCAGGGAACGCACCCGGAGGCGGGAAGTCAGGCAAGAGGCAGCAGGTAGCTCGAGGCCCCTGGGAGGGGTAGATAAGGTTCTCCCCAATTGGGAAGGAGGGGGCGGGGGCGTCTGGACGCTGGGAGAGGAGGAGCTTGAGGGGAGCGCAGGGAAGCGCCGGGGCGGAAGGTGTAGGGAGGAGGAGAGAGTGGGGGCACAGCTGCAGGTGAAGGGGCCGGAACCACTCACCCGCAGGGCGCTCGGGTTGGATGGGCCACCACCTCAGGGCCCGCTCGCCCAGCACCACGTCGCAGCTGCTCTTCCCGATCTTGAAGATGCCCTGAAGCAGAATCTGCCCGGCCGCCACCTCCGGCTGTAGCTGGGACGCCCACAGCGCCGAGGGCCCAGCGGCCGCCGCCGGTGGCGCTTCTTCCTCCGAGCCGCTCTCCAGGGCGCTCACCCGGCCTCCGCGCCTCCCCCAGGGCATGGCGGAGACGCTAGCTGAGCCGGAGCCAGGGGTCTGGGGAGGCCTTCGAGGAGGAGGTGGAGGCCGCAACAGCCACTGCTCGAGCTGCGTCCGGCGCTGCCACAGCAACCGCGCGCAGGGCAGAGACCCGGGAGGGAGGCGGGGCGGGCAGGCGGGGCCGCCCCGGCCCAGTCCTGCGCCTTGGCCTGCCGGCAGCGGGTCTCTGCCACTCACTGGGCAAAGACCCCCGTCCGGGAAGAGGAAGAGGTGGCTCCCTCCGCCAAACCCTACTATTCAGGAGGATTTCGTGTACTGCGCTACCCACAGTTCGATAAACCAGCGCTTCTCAAACTTTTACTTAACCGCTGCGCATCTCGTTAAAATGCAGATTCTTACTGAAGCGATCTGGGATGAGGCCCAGAAATACTGTATTTCTAAGAAGCTCCGGGGTAATGGCCTCGCCCACGCCCTGGTCTGCAGAACACACTTGCGGTTGCAAGGACCTCTGTTTCTCCCCCTCCTTCCCAGGGGACTCTCTTGGAAGGCAGAGGTCACGTTCTATAGCCGCGTTGGCACACCCTCGATTGTTAGCTGACTTTATGCACCTGGTATAAAGAGTGCATTTCCCAAAAGCCCTGAGGGGAAGCCGAAGTTAAGTCTCAGGTTTGCACTGACAAATTCTCACCTGACAAACTTAGTGTTAAAAGAAGGTGCCTTATCATGATGAGCACTAATGTGTAGAATTGTTGAATCACTATATTGTACACCTGAAACGAATATGACAGTGTACCTTAGCTACAATGGCATGAAAAAAAAGACTTAATAAAAAGGTGCCTTTGTGCTGTCAGTATTAAGGGTCCTACTTTCCCCAAGATCTCTCCCGCGCAATCTTGTCTTTGCCTGGATCTGGCACTCCCTGGAGGGAGATTACAAGCAGAGGCCTTGTTCTCTTGAAGGCTACTGCTGTAATGTAGTGTTACCTGGAAATGGAGAGGGCCCTGAGGGGTTCACCCGTCACTTTCTCTGAGAGTGGAGAGTCATGAAATTAGCTGATGGTTAATTTGGAAAGCACAGAGAGTCAGGAGGCCAGTGGTTCTCAATCATGGCTGCACATTAGAGTTACCTGGGGAGTTTTAAAAAAATCCAGCTGCCCAGGCTGCACTTGAAGACAATTACATTGGAATGTCTGGGGATGGGACCCAGCCTTCAGGAGTTTTTAAAGCTCCCCCAGATGATTCCAGTGCTCAGCTAGGCCTGGGAATCGCTGCTCTAAGCAGTGGATTAACAGGGAGCTGAGGAACTATGACCATGAAACAGGAAGAAACTGAGCTCTCTGGAAGAGGAGCGTAGTGGGAAGTAAATCAGCAGCCTTTTTATAAGGTCAGAATAACTAGTGAGAAAAAGGGGCAAGGGAATGAAAGAGCAAATTAAATTCGTAGAGTTGTGAATTCTCTTTCCAGGGTGCTCGTGCCTCACCAGTGACTTCAGGCACTTCTCATTCCTCTGCTTGTCCTGGTCACGCTGCAAAGTCAGACAGGAGAGCTAATGGTAGCAGGAGTGTCTCAAGGTTCTCTGCTCAAACTTGGATTTCAGACAACTCGGGAGGGAGACTGGAGGCCTAGCCAAATCCCTTTCAGACATAAAGCGCCTGTGTGTTAGTTAAGCTGGGACTCTTACTGTTTAATGCCCTGAAAACAAATACCCAAGCTTCCAAGCAAAGCAGGGAAGAGCCTGTGTTTGATCAGATCACGGAGAGCTGTTTCTTGGAGAAGTGCAGTGGCTGCTAACCCCCATGCAGGCTTCAGGGGGCTCAGCCCAGAGGTCATTAGCGCTGAGGCCAGGGCCCTTGCAGAGCGAGTTGCCCAGGTGCCTCTGGATTCAGCGTCTGGTATTCACAGCTGTCAGACCATCAGCACAGAGCTCACTGGCATTTTAAAAGCTCACTGAAAGCCAGGGCAAATAGGCCAAGGCCATGGCTCCTTCTTAGGACCTTTGCAAGTGCCAAGTTGCCATTTTCCAAGCTTCAGCAGGCCAGACGGTCAAAAACGTTGGCTTTGCATCTCTTGAAGATGAAAATAATGGCTGTACTCCATTCCTTGCTCTTGGTGAGCTGTCCTCTCCCAGGGCTCTAAAGGTTGCCGTGCCCAGGGGCTCTGTCCTCAGTATCTAGCTACACGAGCCTTGGCGCCATGGCTTTTCATACCATTCAGGGCACCTTGAGTGATGTCACCAGGTCGAACCACTCCCCTGAACTTTAGGCTCTCTGGCCAGCTGCCTACCTGACATCACCACTCGGCCATCCACTTACCATCTGAAACATAACGTAGCTAAAACCAAACTCATGAATTTCCATCGTAAACCTGTTCCTCCCAGAATGTTCCAAATCTCAGCAATAGTGTCATCAAAATCCTTGATGTCATTCCATCTTGGACTCACATCCAATTCACTGGCAAATCCTGTCAATTGCATCTGCAAAAGAGACTCCTTTCAACCTCTTCTCTTCCCAGTCTGCGCCTCTACACCCCTCACTGGACCACTTCAATAGCCTCCCACCCATTTCTATGCTTTCCCCTTTGCCTCTACTGCCTCCTCCAGCCCAGAGTCTATTTTCCACCTGGCAATCACACCGCTTTTTTCAAAAGTAACAAGATCATATCCCTCCCTACTCACAACCTTCCCATGATCTCCCATCCCTCTTGGAACAAACTCAACATGCTTGGCAAGTGCCCAAGGCCCTACATAATCTGGGCTCGGGCTACCTCTCCAAGGTCACCTTCTAACACCTTTCCCTTTGCTCGCTCACACAAGCCTCCTGACTAGTCCTCAAACAGACTGAGACCAGCCCCTTCTCAGAGCATTTGCCTTGCTGTTCCCTCTCTGGAATGTTTTCCCAGACAGCCAACCAGAGGGCTTCCTCCTTCATCTCAATCACTTTGCTGCTTAAAGATCTTCATCTCATTGCTGCCATCCTCCATTATTCACATTCCTGTAACCATGAGTATTATTATTATTTTTTTTATTGCTGCTGCAACCAATTGCCCTAAACTCAGTGGCTTAAAACAACATGATGTATTACCTGATGTTCCTAAAGGTCAGAAACCCAAACTCTGTTTCACTGGACTAATATGAAGTCATCAATTGGCCTGCATCCCTCTTGGAGTCTCCAGGGAAGAATTCATTTCCTTGCCTTTTCCAGCCTCTAGAGGTTGCCTGTATTTCTTGGATCATGCCCCCTTCCATCTTCAAAGCCAGCACATCGCATCTTCTCTCTGCTTCCATCCTTCCATCTTATGTCTCTGACTTTGCCCTTCTTCCCTCCCTGTTGTAAGGACCCTTGTGATTACATTGGACCCATCTGGATAATCATTAACTGTGTCTGCGAAGTCCCTTTTGCTATGTAAGGTAACATATTAACAGGTTCTGGGAATTAGGACATAGACATCTTCAGGCCACCATTGATCTCTCTACCATCCCCTGCTTTATTTTTCTTTACATCTCTTATTATTACCTCTTACTCTATGTTTACTTATATGTTTATTGTCTAGATTCCCCATTGAATGAGTTAATGTACTTAGTAAGAGTGCTAGAATATAAGAAACACTCAATAAATTGTCGGTGTTGGGACGCCTAGATGGCTCAGTCGGTTAAGTGTCCACCTTTGGCTTATGATCCCAGGGTCCTGGGATCAAGTCCAGCATCGGGCTCCCTGCTCCCTGGGAGCCTGCTTCTCCCTCTGCCTGCCGCTCCGCCTCTCTCTCATTCTTTCTGACAAATAAATAAATAAATAAATCTTTAGAAAAAGGTAAGTGTTATTATTATTATTATTATTATTATTATTAGAATAAAATCTCCTTGATGTCGGAGAATTTATCTTGTTCTCCACTGACGTCTCAGTAACTGGCACAGTGCCTAGCACATAATATGTGCTCCTGAAATATCTATAACAATAATGCTAAAGCACCTCAATAGAGTTTCCCCCTAGTTCCTGAGACTCAGTTGTCCCATAAGTGATGCATATATATGATACACTAATGCATGAAAATTGCTCTCTGAAAATTTTTAGGTAGCTTCCTGAACATTGCTTTCCCTGCTCTGGCTGAAGCTTGGGCATTTGTTTTCAGAGCACAAAACAGTGAGTCCTAACTTAACAGGCACATAGTAGCTTTATGTTTGGAAGGCATTTGGCTAGGTCTGGAAACAGTCTGCATCCCTGGTTTTTGTTTGTTTGTTCTGTTTTGTTTTTAGAAATTCACGTCTGAGCAGAAGATCTTGAAAAACTCTCTGCTGTTAACATTGTTTTCAGGATGTCATTAAGTATCTGAGAGGTTTAGACCTGATGGGACAGTCTCCTGAAGTCAGGGACCCCTTCTCAGTTCCACAGAGGGAGGCAGGTGAAATTACAGCCAACTGAGACATCCCGACCCACTGCTTCAAGGGCAGGGGACAAGGAATTCTAATACCTGAGCTTTGGCCAGTGGATAATTCTAGATCCCGCCCTTTGATCTCCCACAGGCTCTGCTGGCTTCAAAGTCTGGAGTTTGTGTGCATAAGTGAGTGCCTGTGTTATCAAATTACCATCAACATAGCCTTTTTCAGACTCCAGCTTACTTTAGAGAATATTTTTTACTAAGGACTGCTCACTGCAGGTAGAATCAAATCCAAACTCCCACCATGACCTATTAGACGCCTTGTGATCTGACTCCTGCCCACCTACTCAAAGTCCATCTCCTATCATTATTCCTCCATGCTTTCTATACTTACATCCAACCACACTGGCCTTCTTTCCATTCTTCAAATAAGCCAGGTTGATTCTTCATTCAGGGCTTCTGCTGTTGTTATTTACTCTGTGTGGAACAATCTTTATTATAGCATGGCTTTGCAGGGTGCACAGATCAACTTCATGTCACCTGCTCAGAGGTTCTTCCCTGGCCAATCAGAAGTTCACCCCTACTCAATGTTATTTTCCTCATTGCATTCCCACTATCCAAATGTCTGTCATTGATTTATTTGCCTACTTCTTT